CAGGGAGACAGAGAGAGAGAGACAGATAGAGAGTGATAATGAGAGAGTAAGAGAGAGATGGCGATAAAGAGAGAGTAAGAGAGAGATGGCGACAGAGAGAGGGGAAGGCAGTGAGACTGAGGGAGAGATAGATGGATAGAGAGACTGGGACAGAGACATGGGTAGACAGATAAAGGGAAAGAGTGAGAAAGAGAGAGAGAGAATGAGAGGGCGAGAGAGACATGAAGACAGACAGCGATAGGGAGAGAGTGATCGAGACAGCGAGAGAGAGAAAGAGAGAAGGCGGGAGAGAGAGAGAGAAGGCAAGAGAGTGAGCGAACGCAAGAGAAAGAGAGAGAGAAGGAGAGAGAGAGAGAGCGCAAGGGTGAGAGAGAGAGAATGAGAGAGAGAGAATGAGACAGTGAGACAGTAAGAGGAGAGAGAGAGGGGGGTGGTTTTGGGGTGAGGGAGTGACAGAGAGAGAGAGATGGGGACAGAGAGAGGGGGACAGGGAGAGAGATAGAAAGAGAAAGACTGAGACAGAGACACGGAGAGAGGGAAAAAATGTGTGAGAGAGAGAACGAGACAGAGAGAGATTTTGAGAGGGCAAAAGAGAAATGACGAGAGCAAGAGATAGTGAGAGAACGAGCGAGAGAGAGATGGTGAGAGAGGGGGGAGACAGTGGGAGAGAGAGGGGGAGACAGGGAGGGAGAGACAGAAAGAAAGAGACGAGGAGAGAGAGAGTGTGTGATAGAGAGTGAGAGAGAGATGGTGACAGAGAGACGGGGAGACAGGGACAAGGAGAGAGGGAGGAACAGAGAGTGACAAAAAGAGAGAGAGAGAGAAAGAGAGACGGGAGAGAGAGAATGAGAGACAGGGACAAGAGAGAGGAAGAGAGAAAGAGAGAGACAGGAAGGCATAGATATGAGAGAGAGAAAGAGAGAGAGAGAGAGACAGGAACAAGGAGAGAGAGAGACGGAGAGAGAGAAAGACAGGGAGAGATAGAGAGAGAGAGACTGAGACAGGGACAAGGATAGAGGAAGAGAGGAAGAAAGGGAGAGAGAAAAAAAAGAGGGAGACAGGGAGGGCTAGAGAGTGAGAGACATGGAGACGGAGAGATATATACAGAGTGATAGAGAGAGAGTGATAGAGAGAGAGTGATAGAGAGAGAGTGATAGAGAGAGAGTGAGAGGAGAGAGTGAGACAGAGATGGTGACAGAGAGAGGGGGTGACAGGGAGAGAGAGGGGGTGACAGGGAGAGAGAGGGGGTGACAGGGAGAGAGAGGGACAGAGAGAGGGACAGAGAGAGGGACAGAGAGAGGGA